TCAGCACCCGATTCATTAGCTCTTTGCTTTATAGTTGTTAAATCTGTGATCTTTCTTTCCCCTATCCCAGTGTAGAAATATGTATGAAATTTCTTTTCAAGATCACTCCAATTGATAATAGAATTAACCGCTAGTGATGAAAACCAAGTGAAAGCTGGTCCTAACAGGGACAAGGAGAAGAAAGGAACTCGATGTGCTTCTTCAATAGAGGATGCACCCAACTGAGTAAGATATCGACTTACATGTTCTATTGTACTTGTGCTATCTTGACCAGTGAACTTAGCAAATTCTGGAAGCCTGTAGTTCGTAGAAAGGGCCACCAAATCATACCACTCTGGATATGGACGTTTGTATGAAAAGGTCTGCCCTTTTGGCTTTAAACCAAACTGATTTTTCATCATTTCGGTTACTCTAAGTAACAATTCAACAGCATTTGAGTTTGAATTTCTTGGCAATTGCTGACCCATCTGCAGATTGAAATTCTGAGTGCCTTGATATCCTAGATTTAGAATCATCTTGAGGGTATTATAATCTGAACCATAATGATATCCTTGTGAAATATCTATCTATCGGGCCCCTTGCTGATTTACTGTTTGAAATCTCTGATTGAAAACATTAGGATTTGTATCTCTATGAATCCTTTGAACCGATTGTGCTATTTTTTGAGCTGACGGTGGTATTTAGCCTGATGTACCAAAATTAACCATCTGATTCTGAACTTGCCATGTTGGTTGTTGCACATGCTGCACTGATGATATAGGATTATATTGCATTTGATTAGTAGTAGCACCCTGAATTTGCTCAGATGAATTCTGAATTGCCTGGGCATCATCACACTTAGCTAGTGCTGCTTCTTGATGGCTAGTACTAGCTTGATTAGTACCCTGAGTCGACGGATGCGGAATATTGTAATAAGCCGGTCCAACCTGATCAAGTGGAAATCCATAAAACACCTCCTTCATGGTATTGTGGAATGTATTCAAGAAAGTTGTATTATGATTTATCATTGCATCATGAACCGATTTGTTGATAGCTTCCATAAAGAAATGCCTATCATCAACTTCGTCTGTATCTAACTATCCATGCATCAAAACTCTCGGTAGTGGATATTTCTGAACAACTTTATTGTCACGTGTTTTGATGTATGACAACAAGCACTTGTTCTGAAACTCCTCTATAGCCTTACCAATGACATCTTTATCCTCATCAGGTAAGTCTTCATAAGGTACCACAAGAATGTCCTTGTTGTTGTGAACCACCATGACGATTGTGGTCCACCGGACGTGCCAAAAAGTGTGTTGACACAAAAATATGGTGATGTGATCAACACACAACAAGCCGGATGATCTGAATGGAACGAGACCAGAGATCTGCTTGGCTTCAACACAGAACCAGTCGATTTTGAAAACCCAACGACGTGCCAGTCAATTTGACCTACAATTGACAAGGAGAGAAAATCTTATGGAACATGTCGGTGTTGCACCAGACAGTTCCAAATGTACGGCTAGATAGCCGATTCAATAAGGCTATCGACTAAATAGTCGATATCCGACGTATCCATGAAATGAAGACCTTTAAATCAAGGATTATCGGATAATATTAAATGATAATGATATGAATCAAAATAACCAATGCTCATGGAACATCAGAAAGCATCACCGGCTAAATGGAACATGATCGATATAAAGCGTCGATCCAATAAGTTTGATGAAAAGAGTATAACATGCGAATAAATCGACTGTCTAATATAAATGAATCTATAAACAGTTTAAATCTAATCTATTATCATCAACAATGAGGTTCAATCGGATCGATGTAGCTATGATAATGATAACAAACTAAAGCCAAAAAATCTATAAAACCATCTATATGTTGATAGATTCATGAAAACATCCGATATGCGTGAGAGTATAGGAAAATCGGCTAAAATAGCCGATACAGTCATAGCAAACAAACAGAGTACATATCATGACCATGAACAAGACCACTAATCAATAATTTCTAATCTAAAGTCTTATCAGTGAGGTTCGACCGGATCGATGCAGCTATGGTAGTATCATTAGATTAGATCTCATTAACTAGTGAGTTTATTCAAGATTGAAACATGTCTTTGGATGCATACTATGTTTGATTGGAATAGAAATAAAACAGCTGATCTAGCAGAATTAAGCCATCAATTATAAGATTTAAAGTGTGACCAGATCAAAGGACGACCAATTAAGATGATATGATGTCGATCTATCTCTATCTAATCGGATGATTTTGTTATAATTAATAAAACATTAATTATAACAAGATCGATAACTAGTGAATCAACCAAAAAACAGTAAGGAAAATCTTACTAATCTTAGCAGATTCGATAACGGGTGATATTGTATTAAACAACAAGTTATTTAACACAAGATCGATAACTTTGATCTATATTATGATTCGTAAGAGATCAATCAGCTGATGCAGCCTTACAAACTATGATACAGATCGATAACTAACTTATATTATGGCTCATAAAAGATCAATCAGTTGATGCAACTTTACAAGCATAATACAAGTCGTGACGGTACTTACAAGCAAGCTGGAGGTCGATCAGTCGATGCAGCCCTGTTTCCTGAAGAACTCGTCGAGATCTACAGTACTCCTACTCCTAATGCGATGCCAAAAGCCAGAAAGATTATATTGATTGAGTGTTCATTTTTTTTCTTACAATAACCAGGGTCTAATATTTATATCCAAAACCTAAATATGAATCGTACTCAAATACGACTCATTATAATTCTTGGAATCAAAGAAAACATCCTAACTTAATAATAACTTGGACCCTAATTTTCTTTATTTATAGAGTCCGACACATCTTCTTGGCACCATTCAAGCATAGTCCATTGACGCCGTCTACTGATGTCATCTATAAAATAGTCGATTCTGACATCGCATCTAAATCAGCTGATACCGATTCACATCTAATCGATTCCTTGATGACACAATCCTGGAAGCTTCGAGTTCCCGCGTTCTTCTTCCTAAATTTTGATGTAAACAATATGACTAACAAATGGGTCCCAAAAAAGTAGGGGTCATGATTTTTTTTCTCTATCATGCAAAAGGTTTGCGCGTCTTTATATTAAGATAGAACAAAGGGGTCAGATTTGAAAGTCGTTGTTGGAATTGAGCCTAGAAAACACATAGCCCTAAGAGGTAGAAAAAGCTCTCATACCAAAAGTAGGGGTCATTGCTAAAGTTGCTCACGCCACTATCTTGGGCGAGACCCTGAAGCCCAATCACCACTACATTTCCCTAGTGTATGGGCAGCTAGCAATAGATGGTCAATGGTCTCTGATGCTTGGTTTTAGAGCGCGCCATCATAATCATGCAAGAGTGCAAGTGAAAGCCATGCCAGCGATATCTCTCAGCAGTCCAAACATGACCATGGAGCACAAATCAGAATAAAATATTGACTCGTGGTGGTGCACTTGTCTTCTCTGCAGCTCCTTGTAGCATGCATTCATCTGGTCATGCAGTCGTCCTCGTCTCGTGAGGAAAAGGAAAAAGAGCGAAATTTATGAGATAGCCGATGCGTACTTGTTGGTCCCACAGCTCATCTTGAAACCCGTCCGAGCCTATGGTGAAAATAAGTGTTGGTTCTTTTCTTTCACTCTTATCTCTCCTTCATGTAAACAAAATGCTGATCAGATTTATGAGATAGCCGATACGTACTTGCTAGAGGTGCTCTTAATACTTTTTGCTTCTTAGGAACTCAGAATAGTTAAATATCCCTTCTTCCCCACTGATGGAATCCCCCTTGCTCCACTTGCTCACTTGTGTCGGCTTCTGAAAGTTATGATTTGTCTGTGTACAGTGCAACTTGCGCCTTGTCGTGATGAACTGATCATTCATCATTGGCTCACACAACTGGATGTATTATACACGCAATGATGTAATCCCCAAAGCATAAACATTCAAAATGGCAGCACCGAAGAAAACTAAGGTCTCATGAAGGATCAACATATTAAGTAGACCTATTTAATTTTCCCCAGCCTTGTCAAGAATATAGCTCATAGCATGTCTGTGTATGTATACAGTAGAAGTTAAAAAAAAAGTAGGAGCCAAGGAATCATTCTAAAATGAAAGAAACCATTAGCTAACATAAGAAATATTTCAGCAATTGGCATGATGTGAAAGAAACCATTAGCTAACATAAGAGAAGAGAAGAGTGCTAGATCAAACGATTACTGCCACGAACATTTGTGCAGTCATTGTTGCACTGGTTAGCTGCTCTGTTTGAACACCACCACGAAAGCACAGATGATGTTGGAGTGGGAATATTTTGCAGATTCTGTGACTTCTTTTTACAGGGTGCCTCATGATCTGTGACATCCTTTTACCTAGGTACACTGTTCTACGTGCATAATAAAAGTAATGTAAAAAAATCTATGAGCCATGAAGTTTAATGTCTAAGAAAACATAGAATAAAACTTTCTATTGAGAATGTGTGTTTCATTTCATTCTATGGCAGTCTTGGAAACAAAGCCATGAAACTGACCACCGAGACTGGCCTAATAAGAAGAAACATGGTGCGCCTTTGTTTTGAGTTGGTTGGTAGAGTACGTTTTAAATTGCAGTGGACCTTGACAAGTTCCAAGTCTTCTACTGGTGGTTTGAGTTTTCTTCAAAGTTTCTTATTTATGAGAGGTCCCTAGCTATCCATGCATGTGAAGGCATTTTCTCTTGTACCGAGAGCGTTCTTCCATAGCACACCACGTGAGAGCATTATACCTTAGTAACTCAATCCTCTCAAGTCCCAATGGTTGATGCTGTAATCTCAGCCTTTCTGCAAGTCCTTGTTCAGGCAATTGCTGATTTTGTGAAGAAGGAGTTGATGAAGTCCAACGGTCTTGAAAGAGAGAGGAACAATCTGATTTGTAATGTGCAAATGATACAAGCTGTTCTTAGAGGGGATGATAATATGCAGCTTTCTGATGTACAGAAATCGTGGTTTGGTAAGCTGAAAGATGTCAGCTATGATGCAGTTTGAGGTATTGGATGAGTACCTCTATGAAGATCTACGACGTCAGGTGATCCATCTGCACCGTGTTCGTAACAGCAGTCTAATTTCTCATATGAGTGCTAGGCGTAATATATTTGAACATGATATGACGAAGAAGTTTGCTGATATTGTTAAGAATATTGATAGTTTAGAGAAGATGCGCTTGACCTACCAAGTGGAGATCCATGGCCAAACAGGTCAAAACTCTGAATGGAATAGACGCCGTCGGAGCAGCTCTCTTCCTCCAACCCCAGTTCATGGTAGACAGAATGAAAAGGAGAAGATTATCCAGATGCTTTTTCGACCTGTCCTGAATTCCAACGTTGAAGTACTGTCAATACTGGGGGAGGCTTATATTGGGAAGACAACCGTTGCTCAGGTAGTCATCAATGACGAGTGTGTATCAAGCTACTTTGAGCCGAGGCCGTGGGTTCATGTGTCAAGTGAGTTCAACGTAGAAAGGATCACTGCAGACATCGTAGAATCAATAGAAGGCCGTTCCTTTTGTTCCAACAACCTGGACAACCTCCAGAGGCATCTTAAAAAGCTTCTGCGAGAAAGAAGGTTTCTTCTTGTCCTGGATGACTATAGGAGGAGTAGCTTTCCTGACTGGGAACTGCTCCAACGTCCATTTCTGAGTGGCGCTGCAGGAAGCAAGATCATAGTGACAACAAGCAGCAGTGCAGTTGCTACAAGTCTTGGTACCTCTGATTCCTGTTACCAGTTGAATGGTCTACCACAAGAGGACTGCTGGTCATTGTTCCGCCAATATGCAGGCATAGAGTTTGAAGCATCAAATTTTGGAGATTTCTTAAACAACAGGTACATGTTTACTTACTAGTTGCAGGTTTTAAGTTTAGCTAAATTTATAGAAAAAAAAACATCTATATTTAAGACACGAAATTAGTATCATTAGATACATCATGAATATATTATTTTCATTATGTACTTATTTTGTATCATAGATGTTACCATTTTCTATAAAGTTGATCTTAAAGATAGTTTAACTTAGGTTGTGTTCTAGTAATTGATTAATTTTGGAACCGAGAGAGTAATTAAGAAAATAAGTTAGGTACTTGAGGGGAGTGGTACTTATCTAATTATTATGAATCAAGGATCAAAAAAAGAGATGGTTTGTTGTAAATAGGGGTAACTTAGTAATTGTCCTTAGGGCCATTCACTTATTCTCTCTGTCCTAAAATTTTAGTTTAGTTAGATACACCATGAAATATATTTTCATAGTGTACTTGTTTGGTGTCATATTTGTTGGAATTTTTGTATAAAGTTGGTTAAATTTTAAAAAATAACTTAAGACAACTCTATAATTGATTTACTTTGGACAAGGTACATTTTAAGGTCATGTTTGGATACAAAGTACTTTTAGAGTTTTAGAAAAATACAAAGGTTTTGTGAAATACTTTGGTTTAGAATGTCATGTTTGAATGCAACAAACTTTATGGTTTTGAAAACCACAGTATTTCTAAAACTGTAGTCTTTTTGAAGTTTTATAAACTCCACTATTAACCTTTTTCTAAATTATGGTTTTGAACATCTACGGGTTTTAAACTATAATTTCTTGATACTATGGTTTTTAAATACTACAACATCCAAACAGGGCCTAAACCTTCAACACGTCAGTTCGATTTAACTAGTCGTAGTTGTACTTTTCAATCAATGTCTGCTATATGTCCTCAAACGCTTTCTATATTCCAATGTACAGTAATGCCTGACTTGTGTAAATGGCTGTTTTGCAGATTCAAGGACGAAGTTATACGGAAGTGCAAGGGTCTACCTTTCATAGCAGTAAGTTTAGGACACAGACTGCGGCAAGAGAAGGACAGGAGCAAGTGGGAAGCTATTGTGCGAGAGGAGAACTGGGATTCCAATTCCATTGACTGCATGAGATCCCATGGAATAGATTATGCACAGTTAGATTCACATCTTAACCCGTGTTTCGCATACTGCTCCATTTTTCCACAAAATTTTCAGTTTGAGGAGGAATGGCTTATCCAGCATTGGATGGCTCAGGACTTCATCCAATGCCAACCTGACACTACAGATATGATGGCCATTGGGAACGACTACTTCAGATCTTTTGTTGAACAGTCATTTTTCCAGCGAGTGCATGTTGGCCATACCAGGGAACGAGACCGTTATACCATGTCACAAAAGATGCAAGAGCTCGCTTTTCATGTCTCAGCTGGAGGATGCTACATCTTGGATAAGCCTGGCAATCCTCCAAATAAGGCCCGGCATTTAACAGTACAACTAGACAAGCTTGCGAACCAGAATGTACTGTTTGATGCAATCTCCCAATGCACGTCTTTGCATACACTTGTAGTTGTTGGTGGCTCGGAGAACTATCAACTTAGTATCCCAAAGGACATACTGGGAAAAACACTTAAAAGGCTTCGAGTTTTAGATGTCAGCAATTTTGGCCTAAGTAAGCTACCTAAATCAATTGGAGATCTGATACACCTTCGATGTCTTCAGCTCCGAGGCACCAAGATAAGAAAGCTGCCCAAATCAATCTGCTATCTCTACAACCTTCAAACGCTGGGCCTCAGAAATTGCTATCATCTTGAAAAGTTGCCAACTGATATAAAGTGTCTTCGCAAGCTAAGGCATATTGACCTACATCTGGATAACCCCGAGTCTGGCTCTTCCTGCCATATCTGCAGCTTGAAGCATATGCCTGATGGTATAGGCACACTGATTGATCTTCAAACACTTTCAAGGTTCGTGATAAGCAAGAGCATCACTCGCCACAGCAACATTCACGAGCTATCTGAATTGAACAATCTCCGTGGGGAACTTCTGATTTCAAATCTGCATCTTGTTAAGGATGCACAAGAAGCTGAAAAGGCGGGTTTAGCTTCCAAGCAATTCCTACAGAAGATAGAGCTTAAATGGAGGGGCCACAGCAAACAGGCTGATCAAATTGCAGTGAACCTAAAACCAGCTAGCACCATCACTGAACTTACCATTTCAGGCTACTGCGGTATGACATGTCCTAGCTGGCTCGATTCTGTAGACTGCATGCGTGATCTAGTCACTGTACGGCTTCATGATTTTAAGAGCTGCAGTGTTCTTCCTTCCCTGGGACTTCTACCACGGCTTAAAAATCTCTACCTGACAAGCTGGGATCAATTGGCCTCTATAAACTATGATTATGGGTCTTTTGTCAGTTTCCTATCTTTGGAGAAGTTTCATTTGGAGGGGATGCGCAGCTTGCAGCAATGGGATTGGAATGATCTATGTACGTTCGCCCCTCATCTGAGTGAGCTTGTTGTCAAGAATTGCCCTCAACTTCGTGAGCTTCCAGGGTGCATTCAGAACCTCCGAGACTTGGAAGACATGGAGATTGTTGGCTGTGGGCAGCTCGCTCGCCTCCCACATATGAATGGCCTTACTTCACTCCAAAGACTACAGATTTCGGACTGCAATTCGATTTGCTCCCTGCCAAGCACTGGCTTGCCTAGGTCACTGCAGGTCTTGAGCATAAACAATTGTCATCAGCTTAGCCAGTCTTGCAAGAATCTGAGAAGCACCGTCCCTTCAGTGTGGATCGACGGAAATCTTATTTACTAGGAGAACGATATAAGAATGGGAGACGGATAATACCTGAGTCTGGCTGGATGAGTGTACCATGATATTGATATACAGGGCTCAAGTAAGATTTAGCTAGGATTCTGGAGTTCCTGAAAAGTAAGACTCTGTAGGTTCTACTAGAGTTTGGGGTTTAAACTTTTTTTTTTTTGATCGGCTTTGGGGTTTAAACTTTTAAGTGAGCCTCTTTGTGCTCCACCATCTGCTGATATGTTCGTGGAGTAAAATCTTGTAACGTCTTTCTCTGTGACTGTATGCCCGCTTTATGCTTGTACACCTAAGTTCAGGAGGAAGAAAACTCTTTACAGAAAAAAGGAAGAAGAAAGCTAGAGTCTCAGTAGTTTTTAGCCACTTGAGGCTTAGAGTCAGGTTGGTTCAGCTATGAGTTCTGGAAAAACTGTTGTAAGTTATGAACTATGTAAAAATTATAGCGAGTATGTGCAGTGCCGGCCCTGCAAGGGTGCACGGGGTGTGATGGCCTAGGACCCCACATATATAGGCCCTCAATACTGCAGGCCCTTTAGCCTTTAGGTATACTACGTGTAACGCGTCTACGCGAATGCTCGCTCGACGCCCTGGACCCTACGCGAATGGCCGAACGCCAGCGCCGCCGAAGGGTGAATGCGAATCGCCGTCCGTGATCCGTCTCGCCGACACCATGCGTGCGGCACAGGCACTGCGGCTCCCGTCCGGCTGTCCCGTGGTTGTCCGGTACAACGCCGCCGGGTAGGCTGTAGGCGGGTACGGGACGCAGACGACGGCAAGGCGAAGATCTAGGTATTTTTTCCTTGATCGTTTTTTAATCTAAATTAATTACTTCGGACTTCTAAGTACTCGGTACTCATATAGTCGTATTTTTCTTTTAATTTAGGTGTTAGAAACTTAGAATGTTACCTAAGAAATATTTATCGGGGTCTCAGAAAAGAAAACAGAAAAGAGTAGAAGATCAATTTATTGAATCTCAAAAAGGTGATATACATAAGTTTTTTTCAGCTTCAAGCAGTGTTGTGCCTAATGATAATCCTGTAGATGCACTTGATATTGAAGAACAAGGGCAGCAACAGCAACAAGTTAATGATAATTTAAGTGAACAAGTTGATGACATTGATGATGCTACAGAGAATAAAAATTTACAACATTACTCTCAACCTGAAAATTCAATTGATGATGTGCAAGAAGCTTCTATTCATGATGTCTTTGATCTTAGAACTTGGGAAAATCTTGATAATAAGGGTAGAGATATATTGATTGAAAAGGGGCCGGTGAAGCTTCTATGCAAGAAGCTTCTATTCATGATGTCCCGGGATTGACAGTTAAGTCATGGTCTAATACACGCTGGGACAGCCGATAAAAAAGTGTTCAAGCTATCAGATTCCAAACTCCTCAAATAAGATCAGCTTTATTAGCGCTAGAGAAGGCTTCAACTAATAACCCAATGGCAGTTAGTGAATGTCAATCTTTGGTGAGTGCACTAGAGAATTTTGAATTTTTAGTTGGTTTAGTTATTTGGCACGATATTTTATTCTCTATAAATAAGGTGAGCAAGAAGTTGCAATCTAAAATTGTGAGTATAGATGATACTCTCAAACATATTAAAGGTGTCATATCATATTTTAAGAAGTATAGAGATGAAGGTTTCACTTCTAGTATGGATACAACAAAAAAACATTGCATCTAAAATGGATATAGAGCTAAAATTTCGTACGAAACGTTAAGAAAAGAGAAAGAAACATTTTGATGAACAAGATGACCAAGATTAGAAAATACAATGGTATGCTGTGGACTCATTTAGAGTATAGTACTTCAATGTTATGATTGATGCTGCAATTGCTTCATTGACTAGTAGATTTGAGCACATGAAAAATTTTGATAACGTTTTTGGGTTCTTGTTCAACTAAAAAAAATGAAATCTTTGGATGAAACTAATCTTTGGCTGCGCTGCAAGAATTTTGTGGAAATATTTTCTCAGGATAACTCATCCGATGTTGAGATCAATGATTTTTTTTTCAGAATTAAATGTGCTACAAGTGACTTTGCCAGATTCTTTGATGTCAGCGCTTGAGATTCTGGAGTTTGTTATAGCTGCATATTGCTATCCAAATGTTTTAGTTGCCTATCGAATCCTCTTAACTGTACTTGTGATTCTAGCTTCAGCTGAAAGAAGTTTCTCAAAATTAAAGTTGTTGAAGAACTATTTGAGATCAACTATATCACAAGAAAGGTTAAAATGGATTGGCTACGTGCACCATCGAGAGGGATATCTTGGACACTATTGATCTTAATACCGTCCTTGATGATTTTGCATCAAGAAACGCCGGAAGAACCATCTTTTTATGAGAAACAATGGATATTATGGAGTTCTATTCTTCCTTAAGGTAATCATATTACTTTTAGTCTACATTGTTTCTCGATAATTATCAAACATGTTAAATTAAAAATATATCACTGGATTTGTTTTTGCTTTGCAAAAAAAATTAGCGCTTATATATATTATAACATTTATATATAGTCTAGAGGGGCCGTCGCGACGAGTTCGTCAGAGGGCCCTCAAAATCTTAGGACCGGCACTGAGTATGTGCCCGTAAAAAATCTGTAGGTTGTTTGGTTGAAACAACCATGAAACCTATCATATCTTTTTATCTCCCTTAAATAGCTGTGAAACATCTCTATTTTCACACATATGGAAAAGCTGAAATTAGGGTCTAAGGTACTGAAAAAGTTATACTATGCAACAACAGCAATTTATGAAAAATAGTTTCAGGTTCCACCCGTTTAATTGGAGTTCTATTTTTTGGCAGCAGAAGCACTTTCTAGAATGTGAACCAAGCACAACCTTAGTTCCAGCGATGCAGTTCGTCTTCGGTTTTCAGTTGTTATTCATTTCTAGGAGACGAATTTGAACGCGGGATTGAGCACATATGAAACAGTGAGTTTGATTGTCATGTCAAACAGTGAGTATATGAAACAGGCACGAGCACGACGAGTTCATCAGGTGGACACGCCATGATTACAAGCGAACCCATATGCTGACAGTTGCCTTCTTGTGTTGTGCCATGTCCGGCACTAATCTAGCCATCTCTAATGCATTATTCCCGTAAGTTCATGGGATCGAAGGATTTTTTTTTTGGTAGAACTTCTACACAGGCTCCGGCTCCGGTTTCGCAAGAAGCCATATCAAACAGGGTAAAGACGATTTTACTCTAAAACTATCAGGAGCCAGACCCCATTTGAACTAGAAGCCAAAGTCATAGTTTTTAGTTTCTATTGGTTCCTCTTGAAAAATGCTATCTAAAGTTGCTTTGCCAAATGTTTTTAAAAAGTCCCTTAGCCCCATTAGAGAGTTGTTTCACAGCAGAGCCATTTTGGTCGGAATGGGAGTCTAGCGAAAGTTCGATTAGTAGAGCTGTGTACCCAGATTCTCTAGTTTCAGCTCCATCTTATGATTCTTTGGTGGAGTGATTTTGATAGCATGTTTAATAGAGTTACTTTCGCTCCTGATTCTCTGTGATAATGATTCTTCGAGAGAAGTTATTCTATGGCCAAAAGTGATTCTCTTGGTTTCCTAAGGTAAACTATATGTGGTGTCCCTGAGTGAGAAGTGAATAAAAGATAGGCTATTTTTTACCTTCCAACCTCTTAGTTCAATTAAGTTAACCACACAAAACTTCTTCCTTGTAAAGTATTATAGATATATGCTGGGCAATAAATTTTTACCCACATATACGACGACACACGTGGCTTGCGGATTAGACGAGAATATTAAGAAATCATCAAATCTAATTAAATTAAAAACATAAGGCCCATTTCATGATCATTGTATTCTATATTGTGTAGATATAGTTTGTAGAAACCTAACAAAATTGGTTTTATATTTATTATTATGCATTTGCGTTGCAACGGGAAGAAAATAATACCTGACCAATTTAGTGTGGAAAGTATTCACAAATCTCGGATATTCAGCTGTACTCAACTACAGCTCATCAGTACAGTTTAGCATTAAGCAATGAAAAGGGACAGTGTCAAGGAGGACAACAGCTTCTTGCAAAAATTTTCACATTTTCACTGAACTTGGTAGTGCTTTTATGTCCCCCAACAAACCAATAAAAATGTGGACTGATAAGAACAGCCAGAGGATTTAAGACGCTTTCATGGAATTTGTAATAATTAAATTAATCTAAAGTTTGCTAAGTGCATACATAGGAGTAGTTCATTTATCAGAGGGTGCTTGCTACATTCCTCCAGCAAAGAGGGAAAGGAGAAAACGGCACAGATCTGAAATCTCAGTGCCACAAACCTGTCTTTTTTTTTACCTTGCACAAATCAGATCTTGCACAAACCTTAGATCTGATCAGGAGCTGCACAAATCAGACGAGAAATCAAAGAAAACAAAAGGAAAAGGAGCAACACTTGCTTGGGTACAAGGATTAATTGATAAATCACCGATGCAAAAAGCAAGAACATGGGAGATGTCGACCAACATAAAGAAGAGGAAAGGGACTTGCGGCAGTCCATGCGGGGTGCTCCGAGGAGGCGGCCAAGGGCTGCGCGGGTGCCGTGCGCCACCGCTGCGTGGGGAGCGCAAGGCTTCAGGTATCAGCTAATGGCATTTTAGAAAGCTTATATTTCCTTGTTGGGTTCCTGCTTGCGCCGCCTCTCTGGAGGTCTCGCACGCTCCAGGCTGCACGGTGGTATGGGCGCCCACGGTGGCGAGCGACGGAGTTGGTTCGGCGGGAGTCGGCGACGCGAGTTGGCGAGTGGCGCTTGGGCAGAGCCGGGAGCGGCACGCAGCCACGGCGGCAACCCGTCCGAGTTCGCCTTGGTGTCAGCGACGTCGGCAAGCGCAGGGCAGAAGCCGGGCCCACATGTCGGCACGGACGGAGGAGCCGGAGGGCGATTGAGAGGACTGAGGAGCGCGCACACGAAAACCGGGTTGGACGAAACCCCTCCGTATAACTGATTCGGTAGAGCTGCTCTGGATTCCGCCTAGAAGCTACTGTACGAGCTCCCAGGTGATTCCACGCGATAATGGCCCTTACCTTATCATCCATACTAATACTTTTAATCACGGCTTTTCAACTAAACGAACAAATATCTGTTCACTACCAGGCGGAGAAGCGATTTCAGAACAAATATCTGTTCACTACCTGGCGGAGAAGTGATTTCAGAGAATATTGGGCTAGAATCGACCTGAAATTGCCCACGTCTCCACGACATCGGAGAGCTGGAATTGTCCACGTCTCCCCGACACCCTTCCCCTCCGTGGCGGAAAACAGAGAAAAACAGGGCAGAAAGCGCAAATCCCATCGTTTCCCCTTCTCTTCCAGCCTCCCACCGGCGGCGGCGGCGAGTAACTTGACCGCCGAATCCAGCAGGCAGCCATGGGAGGGCACGGCGGGCTGAATATTTTGCCGCAGAAGCGGTGGAACGTCTATAATTTCGACAACCGCGAGAAGGTGCAAAAAGATGAGGCCGCCGCCTCCCGGGAGGAACAGCTCCAGCGCGAGGCGGAACGCCGCCGTGAATCCGACCTCCGCCTCGCTGCGCTACGCCGTAACCGCGGCCTGGTCCAGGCGGAGTCGCCCGCCACTCCTCCACCTCACCCCGCCGGCCCCGCTGATCCAGTGGACGCCCTTCCTTCCCCGACCTCGGACGGAGACCACATCAACCTCTTCTCGGGTGGATCCGGCGTCGCTGCTGACTTCGCCGTGCTCGCCTCGGCCAGTGGTGGGAGGGGCGCGGCCCGGGAGCGGGAGCCCGACGCTGACCCTAACCCTAAGAAGCGGAAGAAGAAGGAAGAGGAGGTGAGGGTTGTGGGGCCCGATGAGGAGAAGTACAGGCTGGGCTACGGTCTCGCTGGGAAGGGTGTGGCGGTGCCCTGGTACATGTCTAGCCCTGCAGCGGCAGCGGCCAAGGAGGGGAGATGCAGGGGAAGGTAACGGGGTGAAGAGGAGTGGAGGGAAGAAGAGCATCGAGGAGCTGAGGGAGGAGAGGAAGAAGAGGGAGGCCAAGGAGAAGGAGCGCGAGCGTGCCATCCTGGTTGCTGCGGGTAGGAAGGAGAGACAGGCGGATCGGGGGCGCCCGTCAAGGTAGCGTCATGGTGGAAGATTTGTTCTGATGATCTTAGTTTGCATTCTGGGCTTGTTTGTAGATGTATGATGGTTACTGTTTCTGTGTTCCTTCAATGCAGATGGGCACGGTGATGTAAGGATTTTCATGGTATAATGTCCAAGATTGCCAAGGATGTTTGTTGAATTAAGGTAAAGTATTGCAGTTCCTGATTAGTTGACATGAAACTAGTTTTGTTTTTGTGCATACGGAATGCTATTCTAATTTGAGTGACATAGATGGCTGATTGGTCATGACTGTCAACGCACTTTTGGTCGTTTTGATAGAACAATGAGTGTGTAAAGAAGGGCTTGTGGGGTGTGTACTTCGGATTTTATACTGTTTAGTTTTTTTCCTTTTGCTCGCTGCTCTTACAACTCCTGAACATGTTGGATGATGTTTGTGAAAAGTTGTGTTTGTTTCCTCCTATATATGTGCTAGTTTGCTCCTATCATACTGACCTCATCCAATTTGTGTTGTGATAATTACAACGACAATAACAATAACATAGCCTTTCAGTCCCAAGCCAATTGGGGTAGACTAGAGTTGAAACCCACCAAGAGCCCCAAGTCACGGTTCAGACACTTCAATAGCTGCTTTCCAAGCACCCCTATTCAAACATATATCTCTAGGTATATCCGAAGCTTTCAAATCTCTTTTTATTTCCTCTCCCCATGTTAATTTCGGTCATTCTCTACCTCTCCTTATATTATTAGCTTGGCTTAGGACTCCACAATGCACTGGTGCCTCTGGAGGTCTCCTTTGGACATGGTCAAACTATCTCAACCGATGTTGGACAAACTTTTCTTTTCCAATTGGTGCTACCTATAGGCGATCACGTATATCATCGTTCCGAACTCGGTCCATTCTTGTGTGACCACAAATTCATCGCAACATACGCATTTCTGCAACACTCAGTTGTTGAACATGTTGAATCTTTGTAGGTCAATATTCTGCTCCATACAACATAGCCGATCTAATCGCCGTTCTATAAAACTTGCCTTTTAGCTTTTGTGGTATCCTCTTGTCACAGAGAATGCCAGAATCTTGTCGCTATTTGATCCATCCTGTTTTAATTCTATGGCTAACGTCCGCATCAGTATCTCCATCCCTCTGTAGCATCGATCCTAGATACCGAAAGGTATCCTTCTTATGCACTACTTGACCTTCTAAACACACATCACCCTTCTCTTGTGTAGCTCCGCCAAAGTTACATCTCATGTATTCGGTTTTAGTTCTGCTCAATCTAAAACCTTTAGACTCAAGGGTCTGCCGCCATAACTCTAGTTTCCTATTTATTCCCGCCTGGCTTTCGTCCACTAACACTACATCATCAACGAACAACATACACTAAGGGATATCCCCTTGTATGTTCCTGGTAACCTCATCCATTACCAAGGCAAAGAGATACGGGCTTAACACTGACCCTTGATAAAGTCCAATTTTAATCGGAAAGTAATCTGTGTTACCATCGTTTGTTTGAACACTAGTCACAATATTGTTGTACATGTCCTTGATGAGGGTCACGTACTTTGATTGGACTTTATGTTTGTCCAAAGCCCACTATATAACATTTTTTGGTATCTTGTCATAAGCCTTCTTCAAGTTAATAAAAACCATGTGGAGGTCCTTCTTCTGCTCTCTAAACCGCTCCATAACTTGTCTTATTAAGAAGATTGCTTCTGTGGTTGACCTTCCGGGCATAAAACCAAATCGGTTTGTTGATATCTGCGTCGTTCCTCGCAGGCGCTGCTCGATCACTCTCCCATAACTTCATAGTGTGGCTCATCAACTTAATTCCCCGATAATTAGTACAACTTTGGATATATCTCTTGTTCTTGTAGATTGGTACTAATACGCTTTTTCTCCACTCCTTAGGCATCTTGTTCGATCGAAAGATATTGTTGAACATCTTGGTTAGCCATACTATAACTATATTCCCGAGACATCTCCACACCTTGATTGAGATACCATCAGGGCCCATCGCTTTGTCCCCTTTCATCCTTTTCAAGGCTTCTCTGACCTTTGATTCTTGAACCCTCCACACAAAACGTCTGTTAGTGTCATCAAACGAGTCGTCCAGCTGAACGGTGGTGTTCTCGTTCTCACCATTGAACAATTTATCAAAATACTTTTGCCATCTATGTCTGATCTCATCCTTCTTCACCAAGAGCTGCTTCATCTCATCCTTTATACATTTGACTTGGTTGAAGTCCCTTGTCTTCCTATCGCGAGCCCTAGCCATCCAATAAATGTCCTTCTCTCGTTCCTTCGTACTCAAACGTTGGTAAAGGTCCTCATAGGCCTGCCTCTTTACCTCACTCACTACCCGTTTTGCAGTTTTCTTTGCCACCTTATATTTCTGTATGTTGTCTACACACCTGTCATGATACAAGCGCTTATAGCACTCTTTCCTTAATAGCCTTTTGCACATCTTCATTCCACCACCAAGTGTCTTTCGAGTCGAATCCGCTCCCTTTGGTCACTCCAAGCACCTCTGAAGCAACCTTTCGAACGCATGTTGCCATCTTCTCCCACATGCTGTTTGCATCGCCTTCATCCTTCCAAGGGTCCTCTTCAATGACTTTTTCCTTAAAGACCTTTGATGCCTCCCCATCTAATTTCCACCACTTCGTCCTAGCAACCGTAGCTTGTTTGTTCCCACGAGGTTACACTAGAAAGCAGAAGTCAGCCACCACCAGCTTGTGTTGAGCGACCACACATTCTTCAGGTATCACCTTACAGTCCACGCATGTTCGTTTATCCCTCCTTGTAAGGACAAAGTCGATTTGACTATAGTACTGCCCGCTACTAAAGGTCACTAAATAGGACTCTTTTACGAAAGAAAGTGTTAGCTGTCATCAGATCAAAAGTTATGGCGAAGTCTAAGACTTTCTCTCCCTCCTGGTTTCTACTACCATATCCGAAACCCCCATGAACCGTTTCGAAACCTACACTTGATGTACCTACATGGCCATTAAGATCACCTCCTATAAAGAGCTTCTCGCTACTAGGGACAACTCTAACCAAGCGATCTAAGTCTTCCCAGAAAAGCCGCTTAGCACTCTCATCATGGCCTACTTGGGGGGCATATGCACTAATTACGAGACCATATCACCAATGACAAGTTTAACTAAGATGATCCTATCCCCTTGCCTTTTCACCTCGACCACACCATCCTTGAGGCTGTTATCAATCAAAACTCATACTCCATTTTTATTTAAAGTTGTCCCTGTGTACCAGAGCTTGAAGACGGTATTGTCCACCTCCTTTGCCTTCTGCCCCTTCCATTTAGTCTCTCGGACGCATAAGATATTTACACGTCTTCTAACCGTTATGTCCACTAACTCTCTTAACTTACTCGTAAGGGACCCTACATTCCACTACCTAACCGGATCCTAGTTGGCTCGACTAGCTTTCTTGCCCTTCACACCCGCCAAGGTAGGTGTGAAGACCCTTGCTCATTTTGCACCACACCCGGGCACCGATATGGCGCGCCACTAAGGATGCGACGGCCCGATCCTTGCTCACTTGACACCATGTCCAGATCGCGACACGGCGCGTCACGGGGGTGACGACCCAACCCTTGCTCATTTAACACCATACCTGGGTTCCGACATAACGCGTCGCTAAGAGGGTTAGGCTCCAACAGGATTCTTTTGGGTTTTATCTCCATAAAAGTGGCTAAGTTTTTATATTGGCTCACCGCACCTAACACCACCCTCCTTTTGTGTTGTGATAATTAACCCATAGTGTTAACTAGGAAGATGCTATAGGCTCCAGGTTCCAGAACTTCCAGAACACATTATTAGTTCATGTTATATTGCCGAAAAGTAGAATTGCTATTGATAGCTGATTGTGAACAGTTTTTTCCCTAATTGATAGCTAGAAATTTCTTTCTTGGGTTGGAATAGTTTGATTGTGTGTCTATGTTCAGAATAATTGAGTACTTATGCTTAAAACAAGATCTTCTAAATACTGTTCCTTTGTGGTTGGGGCTAGAACTTTACTCGACTTCCTTATGATGGTTTGCTTGCACTGAAGTTTTGAGAATTTTGCTTGTACTTGAAATGTCGGCTGGACAACACTCTATACATATATTCTTGTTGCTTGTTTTTTGAAAAAAAAAATAATTGCTTACTTTTGGAGAGAGTGTTCCCCAGTTTATTCCTTGGAACAAAACATTCACGGAAGAATGGCTTATTCTTGTGACTGATCTTTCCCTTCCACAGTATAAGTCATTGAACCGGGCATGGCCTGGCTACCTTACCAACTAGATGCAGATGCATGTGGCCGCAAGAATTACACCGTTCAGTTGCTCAGGAAATGATACTTGTGAGCAGTCCAAGAGCATCTTGATCAGTAACAAGAAGATTGTATTCTTTGTTGGAAATCAATTTATTTGGATCTTCTTCTGTAAAATACTCCATGTCATGCACTGAGAATGCAATGAAGGCATGAAGCTTGCAGCACATGTAACACAGGCGTTGTTTGCTTGTAATTGTAAAAGCTATTTACTTGGTTTGCCATCTTTTATGAAATTTCTTCAATGCCAGATAACTTCAACTTCCTGAGTACTGTTAGGAGCATCCTGAAACATCTCCCTGCAAAGTTGTATTGCATGCTACTGGCATGATTGTTGTTTTGTGCTTGGTTAGACAGTGACTAATGATGCAATCTGGCCACAATCAAGGTCGAGACTGATGGTTAACTTATAGTTAACTGAGAAGTCTTCGTTAAGTGCTTAACCTACTAGGTGATTGCCGTTAGAACTGAATTTTTCTGCTGAAGGCTTGCTGCTATTTGAACCATCTGCTGAACATGGTTGTTAGTATGAGAACTGGAGTCAGAGAACTAGAAATAACCTTTGGACTAGCACATGATGCATGTGGCGCCAATAGTTTGATGTTTGTATGATGTTTAGGTGCCACGGACGGTTTATAATTAGCTCTCAAGAACAACCTCATCAATAGCAATAAGACTATTTTCATGTGTGTAATCTTCTTCGTAGTTCCGAAACCTATACTGTCTAATGCACTAAGATTGTTGCGAGTTAGCAGCTCACGTATACAAATCTGGCTTGAAAAATTCTGAACTCTTATCAATGTCAGATAGCTGCAACCTGTACTCTTATCAATGTCAGATAGCTGCAACCTGTGGAGCGTTCGTTCTACGTGCATCCTAAGTATAATGTAAAAAGTGTGCAAGGAAGAACCAGCATCATGGTGAAGACTGAAGTGTCAAGACTGGAGCACTACGGATCACTCTGCCATGTGACACGGTTAACCTGTTTCATTTTTATTTAGACTAATTGGAGTGGGCCAGCATATATGGTATTATTCAGACTCATTTGTTAACAACGTGGTCACATTCAAAAGTGGACCCAATCCACAATTTTGGAGATAAATTTGTAGGCGATAGAAACAGAAATCAATCAACATAAGAACAATCACTTTTCCAGTGATTTAGTTGAAGTACACCATCTGGATCAAATTAGATGCTATTACCCCCTCTCCCGGTTCTGGGCCGGTTCGCTGGTCTGGTTTTCAGACCAGCCGACTGGTTCCTCCTCACATGGGGTATTGTTCATCAACCAGCCGCTACAGTATTTCTCTCTCACACAACCAGTCGCTACAGTGTTTTGGCTTCTTTTTTCTGTCAATTTGATGGCTGCGCTGTTGCACGGTTCTGTAGCATTGGCAGCTGGCTGATGAATGTAAGAATCACACGATATTCACCTTTTATTTACCATAGCGATTACCCGATTAGACTATGGAATTCTCATTTCTTTACAATGTAACCTAGAACAATGCCAAGGAGCCCAAATGCTAATAAGAGAACCAACGAGAAGGCGCCTTGCTGTTTCCTGGCTTCGCACCTTACAAGTTCCTGCATGTCATGGCCACAGAAGCAACCATCTTTGAGTGAGTTCAACAAAATTCATGGCAGTTACACATATCAGGAAATTCAGAATTTCCTACAACATTTCTTACACATGGACCAATTAAGGTGAAATGCTTATTTAAATTGTTGAGATGAAATCTGATCTAAAAATTTGGAAACTGTTAGCTCCTTAGCAGAGGATGTTGTTTTGATTAACAAAAATCCACTGGAATCCATCCTTAAGATGAATTAGCCCCATTACAACATGAATATTCACAAGTTAATTAGATTCAAAGATTTTTTTAGATAGAACTCGATCCGTAATACCCCAATAAGTGTTCAGTGCACATCAAGTCCAGTACTTACTCGTCTAGAATGGTTCTTTGACTGTGTTCAAAGTCCAAATGTATGCTACTTTGGCCAGTAATAAAATATACATATTGATATATGGATGCCCGTCAATGAATTCCTTATTACCGAAGAAAAGTAACAGTTGTGCACACTACTGTTGATTAATGTTTGTATACATCTGCTTCTATGCAACCTGAAGCACCTTTAAAGGGACCTCCTAGGATTGGTTATATTAAGAGGTTGAACAAGTATTCTTATGTGATATTCATCTTCAGCTTAATCAAAAGGAGAAAATTATGGTCAGGTACATCAGCCTACTAATTAAGGTGCCAATGGTTCACATGATTTCAACCAAATACTCACCAATTCGACTTGAAGCTTTCTGTTTTGCTCAAGTGCAGAATTCTTTTCTTCAGTCAGCTTTGCAATTATAGCTGACAGCTGGAATGAGGTAAAGAAACAAGTGTACATTCACCTCAGAAACAACAATTACATGAGAAATGCTAAATGTATTACATTTACGTCAAGCAAGTAACTTATTCCTGGAAACAATCAATAGCCAAAGACTCAGAACACATTAAACTAAAAGATCATGTCACCAACTTCAGTTATATGATTTGTATCAAATTACAAGGATAGCGAACACAATGAAAATAAAATGTCGTTATGCTCACAACAAACAAACCTAATTATACTCAAACAAATTAGCCCGAGAACAACAGAAATATCGGTAAGTGGCAATGAAAAGTTTGCATGTAGATAGTCCAATATAAACAAAAAAAAAAATCTCAAAGGGCTGCGTATCATTATGTTATGGAAGAAAAAAGAGGGGAAAAGAACCCCAATATAAACGAACTGAAATAGAATTTCTAAACCAAAGTTCCAAAACCTGCTATTCCATTTCTAGGCAATAAAATTCGCAGACTCATGAATGAATGAAGGCATAGAACTAGAAAGGACCTAAATGAGCATTCGAAGCCGAATGGAAAAGCTGTTAATATTCCAGTCTATGCAGAATACAAGCTTACCTGATGAGATTGTTCACCAGGTCCCGCATATGTTTTTGTTGCCTAGCATTTCACATGAGACATACAAATACAACCGACATTTTAATACCCATGGGTCATGGCACAAGATATAAAATGTAGAACAAAGAATATGCATATATTACATACCATAGCAGGTCCTGCAGCCTTCAGGAACTCCTCACTCTTCACAATTCGACCAACAGGTGATCCGACCTCCTGAAAAGATATATGAAAATCGTCAATTATTTTTCTTAGAAACTTGCAAAAAAAAAGGAAAGAAAAATAAGACACAGCACGCTTGCTATTCCCACCTTAGCTGATCTCAATGACACGGAGCCACTCGATAGCTCTGAAGTACTCCTCCCATTATCCACACTCCTCTGCATGGACACTAAAACTTTCTCTAAACCATCGTGCTCCTCTGCAATCTCTGATGGCGGTTCAGGTGGCATCACATAAGCAACCTTCAATTTCACCTCCTCGATCACATTACCCCCCTCTTTCACGAACTAAGAAGCAGGCACCAGATTACAAGTTTAGTACCAAACTGATAGCCATAAACCAAAAGGAAAAAATGTATCGTACTACTACCATTTGAGAGGTTATGTCATTGGCTGACAAGCCATCACTGACGACCACGCTCTGCACCAAGAACTTGTCCTTGCACTGCAAATCCGGAGGCACCACCATCTGCGCCTGCATCGTGACTGCAGGAGCACAGAATGCTTAAAAAATCCAAAGTTTTCAACCAAAGTTGACAAAAGGAAAGGCTCCTAAACTGAGCCGTTTCTTGAACTCTGGCTGGCCGAGTAACAGCAACACATTACCTACAACCGTGCAAGAGGATCGCGGCGGCACGACGCCATTGTTGGGCCGCACGCAGTACTTCCTGGGGTTTGTCGTCTTGACCTACTACCCACACAAATCACAAGGGCGCCAAGAAAGCATAAGAGAATCAAGAATTCTTCATGGAGCTATCCGCAATTTCACAACAAAATTCCTTAGGGTTTAGCATCGCAAATCAACAGGTGAACCACCTTAAAGGCGACGGTACGGTCAGTCCTGTTGGCGAGCCGCAGGGGGCAGGAGATCTGCTTGTCGAGCAAGACTGCATCCCAAGAAATCGCGAAAGAATCAGCTGAAAAATTCGGGGAAAGAACCCGGCAAGAATCTGAACGAGAGAAGGACGATGAGGGGATGCTAGGACCCGCTAGGAGCGGGGAGCTTACACGGAAACTGGAGCTCCGGAGGGTCGACATCGTGGAGGTCGCAGGAGGCGGCCATGGCAGCTGCCGCTGCTGTCGCGGGAGGTGAGGAAAGAAACGGTGGGAAAGGTGGGCTTTGGAAATCATGCGCTGGGGCCGTTTTTTTCATTTGTTTTTGGCTGCAAAAATTTCTTGGAAGTTTCATGCTTATTATTATCTTTTTTTTTAAAAAAAAAAGGATTCGTCTTAATAGAGACGTTTCTGATCTGCACGGTGGACCCATTTGGCAGGCTGGCCTCTGTTCCTATTTTTCAGAGTGGATTTTACAGAACCTTATCAAATTTTCAGAGTGAATTCCATAGAACCTTATTAAATAAGTACTCAAATTGAATTTTAGTGGAGTGTCAACAAGACTCACTTCTCCATTTACACTATGACCTGAGAGTAAAAAAATCTGCTCCCTATTGCTTCTTCAATTACCACTAATCACTTCTCACATGTTCCCAGCCAAAATTACACAATCAAAAAATCAAGGAGTAAAGCTAAAAAGTTAAAACAAAAAAACTGGAGCTCAACCAACCTGTCCTCTAAGGCCTTCCGTAGCGTTGAGTGAAGACACAAATAAAATCGGATCTGGCATCACTCCTGTTGAGCTGCAGTGGTGAGCATCACTTTTGAGACCCAACATGCAAATAAGAAAAAGGAAGCAAGTAGTACCGGCGTTGGTGTGAGCAAAGAGCTAGAGACATGAAAGCAGCAACATGCAGCAAAACAAAATAATTTTCTATTCAGTGGGCATCGATTCCTGAACATGTGCCGCTCCCAAAAATTCTAGACCAAGCATCGTATGTCACTGCTACAGAAAATATCTTTAGAGGTGGGTAAAATAGGTTTTTAGGAGTGGTTTGCGCAAGAGCTATAATGCCATCAATTATAAAGATGGGACGTCTTTAGCGATGGCTTTTAACCGCCTTTAAAAATACATTTCTAGGGGTGGATCGGTTAGGATCTCCGCCTCTGAAAATGGTTCAGAGACGGTTCCAAACCGCCCTTAAAAATGCATTTTCAGAGGCGGTTGCAGTAGGCAAACCGCCTCTAAAAATTCTTTTTCAGGGGCAGTTCCAATACATAAACCGTATCTAAAAATGCATTACCAGAGGCGGCTGCTGCAACGGTTGTGGCAATGCAACCGCCTCTGAAAATATATTTTTAGGGATGGTGTAATCAACCGTCTCTAAAATTCAGTTTCAAAATTTTGAATTTGAAATTTTCCGCCAAATTTGAAATCGCGTTTTCCCACTAAATTTCATACCCAATTGTAAATGATTCAAATTAACTTCATAGATACACAGTAGTGCACTAGTTATACACACATGATCAACAAAGTATTTGTACATTATAAATTACAAGTCAACATTAATTGTGCTCCTACCCAAAGAATGAAAAGAAGGGATACAAACATTTTAAGCGAAGGGACTCAAACTTGGGATGTGTTGCATACTCCGAGCCATGATCATAGAATAAGCCCTTCGGATTAAGAATCTCCCGCACCATGAACTTGCAGAAATCTTCTTGAACAAGTTGAACATCGCTTTGGTTAATTACTTCGTTTGGCCTCGTTACTTCATGCTACACAAAAAGGAACAAATTAGCTAGATTCATATTAATGAACATATTCATATGATATAATTCGATAGAGCAGCTTACATCTTCAGGGTTATTGTTGTAAGTCCCGTTGGCTCTCATCCATTGACATACATAGTAGCCACAAAAGCACGCTTCCGGTAGGCTGCCTCGAGCACTGCGGGTCGGTGACATGCAAAAAAATAATACAGTGAAACACATTATTCTATATAAGGAATATGAGAAGCTATTTGAGTTACAAAATGGTCATACCCATTGATTTACACAAACATCCATCTTCTCCTTCTCCGCTAGGTCATGCACTCCACCTTCTTTAACGTACCATCTGTATGCGCTATTTAAGGAACAAAATAATCACTTTCACTATATCGATAATCGGATGAAAAATAGTGTCACAAGTAATGAACTACAATTACGTTTGTAACACATTGATTAAATTTTGGTATGTTTTTCTATCTTTTCTCATAGAGTCAAAGATGGAAATCCTGCCAACTCTCAAATTGATGCTTGCTAAGATGAAGTGATCGCTGCATCAGTACAAAAAAGATAATATTGTCAATGTAAACCATCTGCCAAATAGCATAAAAAAAAGATAGTAGTCGATCTTACCCAAAATTGTATGGGGCTTCTATATATTGGAATCTCTGATGAGCCATGAACGCCTTCCCGATATATAATGCAGCTTCATTCCTTGCTTCCTTGTACGAAGCCTTCCTAATTACCTCTCTCGCCTTGCCCTTGGCACCCTTAAATGCAGGATGATCATTTTGCCACAATAGAGATCCGGCGTGACATGCCTCGCAAATGAGATTTGGGTCAAGGTGTGCGTTCCTCAAGTTCAACTTGGACGAATCTATCCACTCTTTCCTAAATGAAAGTAAGGCAAATGTGTGGTTAAAAGGATAGCACAAGCACATAAAACCAAATTTGAGGATGAGTTTAAGAAAACACTACTTACATGCACCATAGGGTAATCTGACTTATATCGAGTCTCTTCTATTGGTATAAAAATTGAATGTCCTCAAAAGATATGGTTAGTTTCAAAAATTCTACACCGGTAGCAAATATATCGTTAGCAGGGTAATTCACCAGCACTGACTCTAAGCCAAGTTATACCGCTTCCAAATACCATATCTAAAAGACCCTCATGTGTAACAATCTTTTGTTGCCTACTATGACAAAATTAGGTAGGAATTCCTTGCCTGGTATGTATTCATAGGGGCACTCGGGACTGTCTTATTCCATCATCTCTTTAATGAATTCAACGCTCGCCATGGTTTGGCTCAAACGGTGTTGGCCACCAAAGATTGTTCCAAATCCTTCCTTGGCCATGTTGGCCTTGGCATTTCGAGCTGACGAAGGTACTGCCTTACCCTTGATTGCAGAAGCATCCTAGGGCTTCTTTTTGCCAAGAGACCTCCACATCGCAGATATGCCAGCATCTGGTGGGTTGCTACCCTTCTCAAATTCTCTCACCATCTTAGGAACCATTTGTAGCTGTGGTGGCGGTGGAGGTGGCGGCATCGCTGTTTGTGGCTGCGGTGGCGGTGGAGGTGGCGGCGTCGCTGTTTGTGGCTACGGTGGCTGTGGGGGCGCAACCGTTTGTGGCTGCAAAAGTGGTTGGGAGGGCGGTGGTGGTGGCGGTGCTAGCACTGTAGTTTGTACCTGCAGAAGCAGTGCCGGTTGGGGGGGCTATGGTAGTGGTGGTGGCGGTGGCGGTGCTGGCGCAACAGTTCCTCCCTGCGGAAGTGGTTCCGATGGGGGTGGGGGTGGTAGAGATGGCGGAGTGCTGCCCCCTAACATTTATTGTGTTCCTTATTGAGTCTGGTCCTGATGTGCCTCTTCATTGCATGCTTTCTCAAACTCAGGTACTCTTCTTCCTGCAATGATATCTTCCATGAATTCTTCATAGGAGAAGCTGAGATTGGGGTTTGCCTGGACTACTAAAACATCCATGAATATATCCCTCATCTGCTACTCATATGTCGATGACAACTGCGCACATGCTTCTCCCATGGGGCCTCTTTCTGCTTGTTCCTCTACCTAAGCCAATTGCAGCTGAGGCGAAGCAGAAGGTGTACCCGATGGGGTGGTTAACACCATAATGTCTTGTTGTTGCCAAGCAATGAAATAGCCTACAAGGTTGCCCAAGACCATCTCACCATCAGGAGCAGGGATCACAGTTTTATAATCGAGATGATTCGGAGAAACCGAGAGCACTTCAACCCTGGCATATTCGTTCGGAAGTACATTGCTATGCATAGTGCGTCTTGGATAAGCAGTTTTGCTGGCAACCTGCATCGTCTTCCCCTTCCTATTGTAAGGAATGTGCAGAGCACACGGTGTATGCCTATCAATGGTGTCCATAGGAAAAGTCTCAAGTGTGATTGATGCAACACTACTTGTGTCGGGTTCACAAACTCGGGGTCCCTCAGGGACCGGCTTAGACGCCAGGGCTCGGCCCAAGAAAACAACATGTTGTTCATGGGCTGGCCCAAAGGTCTAAGAATACGACGGGCCAGAAGGATAGCCCGGTCGCTGACTGGGAGGTCTACCTGAAAGAACGAACGCCCGCTCATCAACTTCTTCGGCCCACCTCCGACCGGAGCGCTCGCTTCGAGCACCAGCCACCTCCAGGCGGTCCCTCCGATCGGAAGGCCTAGCCCAAAACGCCGCTTCCTACTCCGACCCTGCGACTCCGACCGGGGACCCGTAGTAAGCCTGCGTACCACTCTTCTCCGACTGGCGTGGCCATGGCCGACTAGAGCCATCCGACCGGGGACGCCTGCTCGAAAGGGACCAGGGGTGAACGGAGAAGGCAGCACACTAAGTCAAACCACGATATCGGAACCATACCCTAAACGCCTGTGGAAACAGTGCTCCACAACCCCCCTGACGCAAGCAGTATTGTAGGCACCTACATTTATGTCTACAGTATTGCAGGCGCCGTTGGGCTCCCATACGGCAAAAAGCCCCCCATGCCTCTGGGCATCGATAAGGGGCACCAGGATCCACCATACCTGGTACACGTGGTGGGGCTCCCCAGACACCAACAGTATTTTGCAGGTACCGATGTCCACCCTTCCTGAAGAAGCCACCGCAACCTCCCACACGCACCTGACATTCTACAGCAACATCAATAGTGTTGTGGGCACCTACCATTATCCACTCCTCATCGGCGTGGGCATCAAGACTTCATAACATCCATACTCTCTCCCTCTCACCTGTAAAGCCACCCCTTCTTCTATAAAAGGGGATGCGCATCCTCCAACGAAGGAGAGGCTCCTTCTTCAAGCTTAGATTCACTAGATCGATAACTCACAACCCCTCAAGCACACGCTTGAACACCTAGCTCATAGCGGAGTTCCGGTTGCCCTCGGCCCTTCCGGTCGAACCCGACCGGGCCTCTCGTACACCCCTCATTTCTCCTTCTCG